ATAGATAGATAGATAGATAGATAGATAGATAGAGATAGATATGGTAGATGATAGATAATACATAGATAGATAGATATCATAGATAGATGATAGATAGATAGATAGATAGATAGATAGATAGATAGATAGATAGATAGAGATAGATAGATACTGTAGATAGATAGATAGATAGATAATAGATAGATAGATAGATAGATAGATAGATAGATAGATAGATAGATACGGTAGGTAGAGAGAGAGAATCTATATCTCTAGTTATCTATCGAGGGAGGAGGAGAAGGAGAAGAAGAGGAGTGACTGATTAGCAACATTTGCCTAGATCCCCATTTTCAAAATATCACCTCTCTCTCTTTTAGGTTCTGAAGTTTTTCCTTTTGGCTGCAGCCATACAAAGTCCTAGAAACAGCGTAACACTGATGTCCGTCTTGCTTAGTGACAGCAATCCTGGTCCCAAATGCCGTCATAACTGGAGGACTAGCTGTATGGCCAGCTCAGTTAACCCACCTGAAAGCGTTCCTTGCTCCTCACCATCCTTCCTGACCATAACCTAGCCTTGCGGTCATTCTCTGCTTCCATTATTTTGTATTTCTTCAGGCCAGAGGTGGTGGTGGAAACCCCACACCCCCTCTTTGCCAAATATCTGAATGGCTTGGAAATACCAAGGAGGTTTCAGGCATCTCTTGAAAGGCATAAAGTACATAAACCCTTTTGAACTCTTTGGGCTTGCAGTGTGCAGTTTTTGTCCCATTTCTTTTTTCCTCCCCCCCAAATAACACGGGCCAGGGGCTGAATTGGCCTTTGCAAGTTGGCCCATGGCTGGGGAATTCTGGGAGTTGAAGTCCACATCTTCACCGTGCGCAAGATTGGGAAATCCTCTCTTAAGGTGTCATATCCTAGTTCGGAAAACGAACCGAGATCCTTAATTCTCTTTTATTTGGAAATAATTCTATAGCACAGGGAGAATAACGTCCTCCTGCTGCCAAAATGCAAGCCGGGTCCATCTGTTTGGTGTCTCTTCACAAGCTTCTTCTGCATCTTTTTGGATTTGTTTTGTTTGAATGGTGCAAGCTGCTTTCCTGGGCCTTCTTTCTCTCCCCCCCCCCCTCCTTTTCTCTTGATGCATGCAAGGTTTTCGGGGGATGAATAAGAGTTTCTACTCTTTATTTCTAATAAAAGCTGTTTCTGGTGATTCATCTTTCTGTCTCCCATTGGAAGCCCCGCTCATCTTAATTATATATTGTGACATTTTCATAAGCTGGTTATCTGTTGGGTAAACAAGAGAGAGAAGTGTGGGTTTGATGCCTTCTCCCAGACAGATTGACTTTCAGTTTCCAAGCCTAGGTTCTCGACACAATGCTTTGCAGCGTTGGGAGCCTCGATCACCAGGTTCAGCTGCGATTTGAGATAGAAGTACTTTTTCTCCCCCAATAAGGCCAAGAAGAAGAAGAAGAAGAAAAGATGGAATTTCCTATTGCATCAAACCACCGCTTTGTGGAAACAAATTTCTCCCTGAACCACAGAAATGTCGGGCTCAATTGTGGTCATAACTCAAGGACTACCTGTACCTGTCACAGTCCCTTTTTCGCAGCCCAAGCCCTGCACGCCATCCAGATTTGCCTAAAATAAATGCGTAGAAGAAAGAAACGAGATGGGTCAACCAGGATTTCTCAAACTTGGACAATGGGTGGGCTTCAACTCCCAGAATTGACCCTGGGGAATTCTGGGAGTGGAAGTCCACTCATCTTCCAAGTTGCCAAGGTTGAGAAACACTGCTGTAAACATTTCCTTTACGTTTATTCCCATTTTAAAAGAAGCTTTTTTTATTTTACTCTTCCTACTGAGCCAGTGGGATGCTATTGGAAGCCCACCAACTGAGAGGATGACAATAGTTGTCATATCAATCTTGAGACATTCTGGAGATGCTATACAGTATTTATACTGTCCTAGCAAGCAGCAAATTATGCCAATTAAATATGTGCACCACGAAGAAAGATTTCCCTAGAAATTTTCTCCATTCCTCTTTCTCGAATGCATTGCAGCTTTTAATATTCCGGAAAAAAATGCCTGCTAGAGCCATTTTGTTTTTCTATATTCAATATTTGCCTCTACGATGTACTGTCCAGCATACAAAAAAAAAAAAAAAAAATGGGGGCACCGTAACAGTTTGCAATAACGCTTCCTGGATAAAAAGCAACTTAATAAAAGCTCAGAAGATTGATAAGGGGGAAAACCAAATAAACCCCATTGTGTAATTATGAGCCAAACCTGTCTGCCAACGTCTGTATGAAAGAGAGAGAGAGAAAAAAAAAACAATTGATATTTTTTTGGAGGTCACTCTGCTCTTGCCTGATTCTTCACTGACAATGCACTGTGATTTTTCAGTCGGTCACTCCTAAATTTTAATTTTTAATTTTTAACGTGGATGTACTTTAATTTCTAAATGGATATGTCTCTTTGACTCTTTTTTTTTTAACACATAGATTTGTAGATAGTTTGAATCTTGTTAAGCTAAGTGGCTTAGCTTTCCCTAAGCTGTTGAACAATAATATACAGGAGTCCTCCACTTACAACATTTTGCTTAGTGACCATTCAAAGTTACAGTGGCATTATAATAACAACAACAACAACAACAATAATAATAATAACAACAACTTTATTGTTGTTGTACGTATATACACAGTATACCCATACAAGGAAATTCACTTAACATCCAAAGACCAGGCCCAACACACATAACACCCCCCACCCACCTACCACCCACCCACCACAAATTCCCCACCCCTAAACCACCCAAACATCCACACAACAGACCAAGTAATGCTGTCCAACAGCTCACTGATGGTGGCCCTTTAGTTCATTGTTGAGTACAATTACAGCTCTGGGATAAAAATTAATAAAAACTAAAAAATTAAAAATTAAAAAAAGTATTCAAACCGGAAGGAAGGAAGGACTATTTTTTCACGTGATTTACATTAAGATGCTTGACAATTGACTTGCATTTATGACGGTTGCAGTGTCCCGGGGTCACATGATCCCTTTTTGCGACCTCCTGACAAGCAGAGCCTGTGAGGAAGCCAGATTCACTTAACAACCGGGTTACTCAGTTTAAGAACTGCATTGATTCACTTAACCAACGTGGCGGGAAAAGTCGTAAGATGGGGCAAAATTCGCTTAACAAATGTCTCACTTAGCAACATAAATGTTGGGCTCAATTGTTAGTCTAGGACTACCTGTGTGGGTTTTTAAGCCTCCGAAACATTAATCATAGTTAAATAGGAAAACATGCAATAAATCACCCCCATTGATTTTGCTTTCTAATGGAACTTTCTTAAAGGGCAGTTTTACGTTAAATAACCTCTCTCCCCCCTATCTCTGAGGATTAGTAGGTGGGGGGATTCCTCCTGCAAGCACAGAGAATGTGAGTTAAACGTGTGACTAATGCACAACGTATTAGTCATGCACTTTTAATAGGAGCAACCTTTGAGGCACATTTGGTGTGAAGCAATGTCTGATTTATTTATTTGTTTTCTTTCTCGGCCACAGCCCTTTGCTTGCTTTTCCTTCGTTTCCACGATAAAACCTCAGAGAGTTTGTTCTCTTTTGTGATCCATGGCTGCCATGATAAGGGTCAATACTTAAGCCTCACTTGAAAGCCTTCTGTTCCATTTTAGCACACACAGAATAAGAGTTGATGCTCCAGATTAGGTTCAGTTAAACTGATTTATTGCTGTAGCCTGTGCGCACCAATCTTCTCGACTAATAGCAATAGCCCTTAGACTTATATAGCGCTTCACAGTGCCTTACAGCCCTCTCTAAGCGGTTTACAGAATCAGCTTATTGCCCCCAATAATCTGGGTCCTCATTTTACCCACCTCGGAAGGATGAAAGGCTGAGTCAACCTTGAGCCGGTCAGGATAGAACTGCTGGCAGTCGGCAGAGTTAGCCTGTAATACTGCATTCTAACCACAGGGAGGGAGGGAGGGAGGAAGGAAGGAAGGAAGGAAGGAAAATGCAATAAGCACTTAGACTTATATACCGCTTCACAGTGTTTTACAGACCTCTCCAAGCAGTTTACAGCCTCTTGCCCCCAACAATCTGGGTCCTCATTTTACTGACCTTGGAAGGATGGAAGGCTGAATCAACTTTGAGCCGGTCAGGATTGAACACCTGGCAGTGAGCTGAATTAGCCTGCAATACTGCATTCTAACAGGAAGGAAGGAAGGAAGGAAGGAAGGAAGGAAGGAAGGAAGGAAGGAAGGGCACTTAGATATATACCACGGTGCTATACAGCCCTCTCTAAGCGGTTTACAGAGTCAGCAAATTGCCCCCAACAATCGGAGTCCTCGTTTTACTGACCTTGGAAGGAAGAAAGGCTGAGTCAACCTTGAGCCTGGTGAGATTTGAACTGCCAAATTGCAGGCAGCTGGCAGTCAGCAGAAGTAGCCTGCGGTACTGCACCCTAACCACTGTGCCACCATGCTTGCTAAGAGTTACATAAGGGCCGACGGCACTCAAGGAAGGTTGGACCGATCTTGCTTGTGACTATGTAGAGACTCTAGGCTGGTCCCTCTCTTCATTCTGCCCCTAGCTTCTGCCACTCATTCTCCCACAGCGGGATAACCGGAAGAGTAAAATGAGATAAATCAGGGAAAACCAGTGTCATGGGAATGGAAGTCTCCTCACTTTCCCCATATATTCTCAAAATCTATTTTGAGAAGTCTTTGAAACAGGTTGCTAGGGAGAAATGTGTTGGCCAGTGAGTGTGGATCCCATTCTTTCAGGAACCAGCTTCTATCAACTCAAGCAGAACATTGGGTTTTATACAATATAATATTTGCTCCCACTCAGTCCACCACAACCCCCTCCAAAATCCTTGATTTTTCTTCATGTGATGTTTTAGCGTTAAGTCAAAACTGGCGGGTAGCCGTTTCTTTGCACTCCGGTGACGTCGTTTGTGAAGGCAGGGTTACGATCCTCTCTTGTTTTTTGTGTGTTTCTAGGTGGCAATAAAAATCATCGACAAATCTCAGCTCGATTCTGTCAACCTGGAAAAAATTTACCGGGAGGTACAGATCATGAAAATGCTGGACCATCCACACATTATCAAGCTTTATCAGGTACGTTAATCCCTAAATCTCGCCTGTCGAATCTGAAAGTTCAAAAGTGACGGGGAAATCAAACCTTTTTTAACCGGTCCACTCCTGAATTCATCCAGGGTTTGGTTGCCGTTGGTGGAATTATTGAGCAGCGATTTAATTCATCCACGTGTACAAATCTAGAAACAATCTTGATACGTCAGATCAAGTTTTTCCCTTCGTTCCTTTTTTGAACATTAAACAACTGTACGGCTTTGAATAATTCATGAATTCACCAGCCTCAAAATTGTTGACTCAGGCATTGTTGAAAGGAACAGGTTTTGTTAACTGATTTAGGCTAGCCTGCCGGGATTTTGTTCAGTTTGGAAAATCAGTAGCAGCAGCAACAGCAAAATGCCAGAATCTTGACTTAATGATTGTTAGCAAGTACAGGTGGACTTACGGGCGCCCATTTAGTGACCGTCCAAAGTTACAACGGCACTGGAAAAAGTGACATGGTCGTATGATCAAAATTCAGACACTCAGCAACTGGTCCGTATTTGTGACGATTGCCATGTCCCGGGGTCATGCAATCCCCTTTTGCGACCTTCTGACGAGCGAAGTCAATGGGGAGGCCAGATTCACTTAACAACCGGGTTACTCATTTAAGAACTGCGTTGATTCACTTAACAAACGTGGCGAGAAAAGTCGTAAGATGGGGGAAAACTCACTTAACAAGTCAGTGGGGGAGCCAAATTCCCTTAAGAACCGTGTTATTAACTTAAGAATTTGCAGCGGTTCACTTAAAGAACTAAGGTTGTAAGATGGGCCAAAATTTCACTTAACTGTCTCGCTTAGTGACAGAAACTTTGGGCTCAGTTGTGGTTGTAAATCGAGGATTATCTGTATGCGTAACACAATTTTGCCTACATGGTCCTTTCTATCTGCAGGGGCAGCTATGCTAACCAAAGACGTGCAGGGTAAACCATCATATATCTGAATGGCTTGATTCCTGGCTTGTTGGTCTTCAAGGAACCGTGGTTTGACATGGTTTAGAAGTGTTTAAACAGGCCACGGCTCAGGCATAATGCTGAACTTTTCCATCCTGGTTGCTGGATAGTTTAGCTGCCTCTGCTTGAAGAAACAGTCAAGTAGGAGCAGGAAGCCAACATTCATCAGCCGGCTTTCTTACTAACAAGCCACTTTGGGAGAGAATCCTGGCTTAGAGTCTTTTAGGAGTGCGGTGAGTCACTCGAGGCGATTGGCTCTCGCTAAACGTAAGGTCAGATGGATCAGTGGGACTTGGTCTCTAACAGGATCCTGTTTATGTAATCTGCAGTGTGACCTGAATAGTTTTGCCACAGCGTGTTCAAGTACGCCACAATTTCCTAACGTGGAACAGTGAACGGCGGGATTTCAAAAATCTGCAATTTGCCAGCTTCCATTTTCATCGTTGCAGTACGTGACTTTTGCTCTCGGTCTAAAGCAGGGATGGGCATCTGTGGCCCCTTTTAAAGCTGTGGACTTCAACTCCCAGAATTCCTGAGCTAGCCATGCACGGCCGGCTGGGGAATTCTGGGAGTTGAAGTCCACAGGTCATACATAAAAAGGCCCATAGTTGCCAGCTTTGATCTGAAGAGTGGGAAGGTAAGAATTTCCTTAGGTTTCTGAGCAGTGACTGTTGTTTCTCCGCATTAAATATTTGGACTGCTTACACTTTATGCTAAACCACATCTATTCCACAAACATGAATTAAGGTGGAACCTGTTTATCGATTCTCCCAATTTATTGGTGAGTTGTTAACTGGCCAAAGCTCTGAAGACTGATCTAATTCCTTCAGACAAGTTTAGCTCTTAAATAAGTTTGAAAGTTTAAATAGATCGCGTAATATTTGTCTTTAATATGGCCTTCCTCGTTATATTCCTCCATGCTGTCCTACCAAAAATAATTTCATCTTGGCATCAATCAAGCAAATAATAACTTAGAAATGTCCTTGAGGACTTGCTTAGGGCACCGTATCTCCATTAGCGTTGATTATCTTTTCTCTTATGCAAGTCGTGTACATACACAAAATATTAAACAGGAATTTACGTAACATTGTTATGGAAAGCTACATTATGCTCCTTTAACAGTTAAGCACTACTTTTAGAATTACGGAATTGGAAGGGACCTTGGAGGTCTTCTAGTCAAACCCCCTGCTTAGGCAGGAAACCCTACACCACCTCAGACAAATGGTTATCCAAAATCTTCTTAAAGACTTCCAATGTTGGAGCATTCGCAACTTCTGGAGGCAAGTCGTTCCACTGATTAATTGTTCTAAGTGTCAGGAAATTCCTCCTTAGTTCTAAGTTGCTTCTCTCCTTGATTAGTTTCCACCCATTTCTTCTTGTCCTGCCTTCAGGTGTTTTGGAGAATAGCTTGACTCCCTCTTCTTTGGGGCAGCCCCTGATATACTGGAACACTGCTATCATGTCTCCCCTAATCCTTATTTTCATTAAACTATCCATGCTCAGTTCCTGCAATCGTTCTTCATATTTTTTAGCCCACTTGTTTTGATACTCCCGTTGATCTGTCTGATAAAGAAGGATGGTTTAATTTTGAGTGCAAGTCTTTCTCATGAGACAAAACCAGATGTTTGAAATGATGACAGCCAGTTGTAGAACCAAAGTAGGAAGTAGTTGAGACTTCACCATGGAGTGAGCCAAAATTCAAGAATAGAAGTTTTAAGTGCTGACAAGGAAGGCAGCAATTCGGGAGCAAATCCCAGGCATGAATCAGTCAAATGAACGGAGTTGTTCAGAAGCAGCACTGTGAGCCACCAGATGCCACCGGATTCAGATCATTGTAAATCTCGTCGTAAAGGCCTTGCTTAGAATTATCTTTATTAGTTTAGCCAATGTCATTAACAAATTACTCGTATTAAATGTTGAAGCTCAAGATGAAGAGACTTCCCCGCCATGTCAAGAAGAAACATTTGGTTTAACGAGGTTTGGCTTGGGCTTTTATTAAATCATGTCTCAATATTGATAGCACGCTGTAAATCAAGCGGTTAATGGCGATATTATAAAACGAACAGTTTACTTATTTGAACTGGAATTTAGAAATGAGAGAAAGATCCAGATCATAAAAAAAAAAAAAAAACCCACATAATACTATTTCGTGCTCTGAGATCTTCTGGAAAAAACAGCCAGCTGTCAACAGTATTCTTTTAGTCATCTTTAAAAAGCCTTTGCTTTTGCTATGGGGCAGTTGAGACTTTCTTTGACTTCCAATGATCCAAATCCTTCCAATGATTTTACCAATTAATACATTCAGCACAGGCCTCCCAGTTTACGGGCTGCATGGTGTTTTATGCAAATCTTTTCAGCCTTGTTGATTTCTTAACTCCGGTTTTTTTCTGACATTTTAATTTGTTAATTTTAATCTTTTTTTTTTTTAATTCTCTTTTTAACTGTGCTGTTAGTCAGGTTTTTATATTATTTTGTAGTGGTGTTTGTAAACTGCCCAGAATTACTAGATAGATAGATAGATAGATAGATAGATAGATAGATAGATAGATAGATAGATAGATAGATAGATAGATGATAGATAGATAGATAGATAGATAGATAGATAGAGATAGAGATAGAGATAGAGATAGAGATAGATAGATATGGAGGGAGGGAGGGAGGGGGAGAGAGAGAGAGAGAGAGAGAGAGAGAGAGAGAGAGAGAGAGAGAGAGAGAGAGAGAGAGAGAGAGAGATGTAGGTAGGTAGATACATAGATACATACAGTGGTGAAATTCATTTTTTTTTTACTACCGGTTCTGGTGGTTGGTGGACATGGTGTGGCTTGGTGGACGTGGCAGAGGAAGGATACTGCAAAAATCCCCACAAAATTCCCTCCCCACTCCTGGGGGAAGGATATTGCAAAATCTCCATTCCCACCCTACTCTGGGGCCAGCCAGAGGTGGTATTTGCCAGTTCTCTGAACTGCTCAAAATTTCCGCTACCGGTTCTCCAGAACCTGTCAGAACCTGCTGGATTCCACCCCTGGATACCTGGACAAACAGACAGACAGACCCACCTGTTCTCTTCTAACCAACTATGGTGAAGAGCTGGCATCCTGTATCTCAACCAGAGAAATTACGTTGGAGAGTTTGCTGATTTCCTGGCCTGACTAGCTACAGCCCTCGCTCACCATCCTTGCACATCTTCTAGCTGTAGAGTTTCCTCCCATGGCCACAGCTTGTTGCTTCGGTGAACAAGAACGCCGATGCCTACCTTTGATCAAGAGATTACTTCGGGCATGACGTCAAACTTTCTCAAGGCCCCGAGAAAAATCCTCCCAACTTTCTGCATTTATTAAAAAGCCTTTTCGGTCTCTCCTTTGTTCTAGCAAGCTGCCTGGCTGTTTTAACATTCTAAGTGAGATTATTATTCACTAACGCCAGCAGCTCTCTCTTTCCGGAACACGAGGGTTTGCAATCTGTGTTCGATTTGGGGGGGGGGGGCGCGAGGCGATATTTGAAGTTCTTGGAAGTGTCTTGTGATAGCATGAAAGCAAACAAATGTGTTCTGGCACAAACGTTTGTGGATTCCATCCAATTCCCTCATTTTTGTATTTAAACACTTGGGAGGCAGAAATTGTTCCTGATCTAGTTGGATCGTCTAAAATACCCCAAATGCTGTCTTCCCTTCACCCCAAATTATAACATCCCTGGAGAAGAATACAGTTGACCAGCAAGAATGAGAGCATTGGAATATTCTGTTCTTGCAAGATTTCAAAAATTCTGTTGCAATTCTTATTTGCCTCCCTATTTCGTGCAAAAGCCATTGGAGAATTGTTTAATGAGACGGATCTTCCCCAGGGGGGGAGGGGGGGGAAACATCTTAAGATTTCAGTGCCAAGTGATTTATCTTGTGTCTGCCTTTAAAATTAAAAGTATCTGGCATTGTTTTCTTATATTTGGCATCCCACAATAAATGCTCGATGGGTCAAGGAGCGAGGCAGAATTCGTGACTATGGATTGTATTTGTTCGCCTGCTAATTTGGAAGTTATTGCTTCAGCACGTTGGCTCAAACCCCACGAATTTCAGGGTATGTCTTGTGGTTTATTCTGAGAAACCTCCATGTATCTTAAAATTGTTTGTGTTCCGGTAACGAGACATTCCTTTTAATCACCGATTCAGGGAAGCCTCATCTCCATCCTGCCTTCACCTTTGAATTCATTGAAGTAATTTTGAATTTTTTTATACGCGTAACGATACCTCTGATGTTTCATTTACCACAGGAAAAAATACTGAAAAAGTTGCTTCCAAGATTTCCTGGGGGGTTTTCTCTCTCCCCCCCCCCCTTTTTGGCAGTTAAAATGATATTTATTTATTTCATTCACAGGTGATGGAGACCAAAAGCATGCTGTACCTTGTGACAGAATATGCCAAAAATGGAGAAATATTTGGTAAGCTTTCCGACTATAAAAATAGCTCGTTGGTTTCTTCCAACAGTTGCGCACTGTTAACGTATTTGGAAATTCTCTTTGCTCTTAAAAATAGAAGCTTTTCTCTGCTCAGTCGTCCAGAAACAAAGACGGGGGATTTTGGACAGTAGATTATTCACTCCAGTATGTCCTCTTGAGGGATCTTCAGTCCCAAAATTAAGATGGTTCCTCTTTCCATTGGCAGGCTGTATCCTGCGAGTGTTGCTCTGTTTGAAAAGGGGAAGTGCAGGCTTCATAAATTTCCATTTCCCTTCTCTTAGATTATTGGCAATGTTGGCTAAGATGATGACAACGAGAACATAGCAACACAGATTCCTACATTCCAACCCTGTTTAGGGCAAATGGCAAACATTTCACTGTGAACACAATTGGCTTTAGCTGTCTGGTAACAACAGTTAAAGCAAAACTATTTTTTTTTAAAATTATTTGTAACCATTGATCGGGACTCCAGAATAATTTCTCAGGGGACTCACATGTCCTGCAATAATCCGTTCTGCAAATGTTCTCGCAATCTTAAATTCAACTTTGTCGAGCCTTGCATGGTTTTGAAATGTTTATTCCGCTCCTTCATTCAGGATGTGCAAGGGAAGCTTGAAATTATACACCTGCGAAGGGGTAGTATGCAATTTCACTAGCACAATCCCATCGTGCTGTCGTCATTTTAAGAGAGAAATGAGCCGTCTCTCGCAAGTTCTGGAAAGACCGTTCCAGATTCTTCCTGTTTGTGTCACCCAAATCAGGAAGAGGTAGCACATTTTCGGATGAATGCCTTTTATTAAAAGGTAGAAAATTTTGTGAGGCACAATTCATTTCATCAGTTGTCTGAAGTGGCCAAACTGATGTAAGATTTAGAGTTGGAAGAGAGAAGGTGCGGAACTGGGATAATTTTGCAATTATAGGCTATATGTAAGAAAGATTATTTTGTCAATTAACATTTGTAACAAACTCACTGGACTTGTTGAGACCTTTTGAGATAGCCTACCCTGTTTCCCCAAAAATAAGACATCCCAATAATAAGCCCAATCGGGCTTTTGAGCGCATGTGCTAAAATAAGCCCCTCCCTGAAAATAAGATCTCCCCGAAAATATTTAAACGCACGTGCAGCTGGTCCCCTCCATTTCCTCTGCTTAGGGTTAGAGAGACAGAGCTGGAAATCAGGTAAGACGGCAAGCGCTCCATGCGCCCCAAAATAATAAGACCTCCCCGAAAACAAGGCCAAGCACTTATTTCAGGGTTCAAAAAAATATAAGACAGGGTCCCAGGGTCTTATTTTCGGGGAAACACGGTAAAACTTTTTTTGCATGCGTGTTCAGCAATCTCTCTCTCAATGGTGCTGTTATTCTTTCTCTCCCCCCCCCCCCCCCCAAATGGCTACTGTGAGATCTTTGGAAACCAAAGTACTTCGAATATCGTTTTATTTTTGTCCTTATTTGGAATCTTTGCGGTCAAACTTGTGTCGCGTCATTCTTTTGGGGAAAGTTTGCCTTCCTTTGTTCTGCACGGAACCCCGAAGGGCCATGACAGCTTTATGATGCGCCGACTTCAACTCCCACAATTCCCCAGACAGCTATGAATTCTGGGAGTTGAAGTCCGCCGCGCATCTTAAAGCCGTCAAGGTTGAGAAACCCTGCCGAAGGGCGCTGCTGGCCGATGGATTAAAGTCTTACGATAGCACATTAGAGAAAGAACATGTGAAGGTTTCCACTGTGTAATCAAAATAATCAGAACGTCCTGTTTAACCAGATAAGGCATGCAAAGGACCTCGGGAGTAAGAAGTCAACCAGAGAAGTCTTTTAAGAGCTGAAACGTAAAGGCTGCCTTTAATCTTAATTAGGCAGCTTTATCTTGAGTCGTGGTTGGATAAGATTGCCAGTTCTGGGATTGGATTGTGCAAAAAAAAACAAAACGGTGGCACATGATAGATTATATATATGGCTAAGGGCGACTTCCTCCAATATTTCTTGGATACTACTACTACCGGGATGTTTCGGAACACAAAATCCAGACGATGACTAATAGTCAGGCTGCAATCTTGGTTTCTATTTCGGAATAGCTTTGGGGGTTTATTAGATGAACGGCAGAGGGAATTTGTGCGGGGGTCCCCGACAGACAAGCAGAAAACAAGAGTTTGGTCCCGACAGAAGAGAGCGCTGTATTCGTTGCTCAAGGTTGAATTCTGGTTTCCGAGCACGGCGGTTTTCTTACCGACGTTTCGTGACCAACCTGGGTAATATCATCAGAGCTAGTGATTGTGTTATCTAGGCTGATAACCTACTGATAACCACCAAACTCGGAGCACACCAAGGACAACCACAAGAGTTTGGTCTTCTGGTAGGGTGAGTTATCTTCCACGTCCTTGGGCCTAATCCATCCCTTGGCCCAGCTTCTGCAGAATGTTTCGATAAAATTCAAACGGTGGGACGAACATTATACGGCTCCAAAACCCTTCCAAGAAGAGAAATACCGATGAGAATTCTTGAAGGTATGTCAGCATTATTAAGCGGATTGGAGAATATTCTCCCGGGCTCAGTTGAGCCCATTTTCTGTGTAGCATAAAATGGAGAAAGATTAGACCAGAGATCTCCAACCTTGGCAACTTTAAGCCTGGAGGACTTCAACTCCCAGAATTCCCCAGCCAGCTTTGCTTTGGCCTTGCATATCTGAAAATGGTCATGGTTGAGAAATATTAGCTTGGACTATTTTTGTTCGTGCTTCACTTCCTCATCGACGGAGGCTGTGTGCTGCCCTGCGGATGCCCGATTTCCTGGAAGGCACGGTGGCCCCATCATTTCACCCGTTTTAATCATCCTTGGCGGATAAATATTATTGTTCTCCTTTTTTAAAAAGTCTTTCTGCGTTTCACAGGCCCTCGGTGCTTTCACAGGTTTCCCAAAAAGCCTAGCGTTCTTTTGGGGGGCGGGATGCATGATTGTGCAGTATTTCCAGAGCTCGGAGAGAAATCTCTTTTAAGAGGAAATTCCTCACTGAGGCATCAGCTTGCGTGTGAGAACAAAATCAGTGGGGTTTTGCTTTGTTTTTTTCTTTAATTATTTATTCATGGTCCGTTTCTCTCTTTCTGCAGGAACTTTTTCTGGATTTTGTTCCTCTGGTATAATCTGTAATGTCCCGTTCTAACGTTGGCAGTTTTACTGAGGTTAAGGATCAGTAATGTGTTCTGAATTTAATGTGCTGCAGAATAGAATAGAACAGAACAGAACAGAGCAGAACAGAATAGGAATACAGAACAGAAAATATAGAATAGAAATAGAATAAAATAGAAAAGAAAAGAAATATGGAATGGAATGGAATGGAATGGAATGGAATGGAATGGAATGGAATAGAATAGAATAGAATAGAATAGAATAGAATAGAATAGAATAGAATAGAATAGAATAGAAAAATAGAATAGAATAACAGAGTTGGAAGGGACCTTGGAGGTCTTCTAGTCCAACCCCCTGCTTAGGCAGGAAACCCTACACCACTTCAGACAAATGGTAATCCAACTTCTTCTAAAAACTTCCAGTGTTGGAGCATTCACAACTTCTGGTGGCAAGTTGTTCCACTGATTAATTGTTCCAACTGTCAGGCAATTTCTCCTTAGTTCTAAGTTGTTTATCTCCTTGATTAGTTTCCACCCATTGCTTCTTGTCCTGCCCTCAGGTGCTTTGGAGAATAGCTTGACTCCCTCTTCTTTGTGGCAACCCCTGAGATATTGGAACACTGCTATCATGTCTACCCTAGTCCTTCTTTTCATCAAACTAGACATACCCAGTTCCTGCAACCGTTCTTCGTATGTTTTATCCTCCAGTCCCCTAATCCTCTTTGTTGCTCTTCTCTGCACTCTTTCCAGAGTCTCCACATCTTAGCTATAACATAGAACATAACTAAGTCTAGCGCATTGCACACAAGCAAGCAGATTTGACATCCGTACTTGAACATAAATATCCAGATCAATTTTGTGGACTTAAAAACTCTTATTTGATGGGAAAAGATGGTGTGTTTTCTTGAATACAGGTAGCCCTGGATTACAACAGTTCATTTAGTGACCGGTTGAAGTTATAACGGCGCTGAAAAGAGTAACTTATGACCATGTTTCACACTTATGACCGCTGCAGCGTCCCCGTGGTCACGTGATTTACATTTGGATGTTTGACAAATGGTTCTACTTACGACGGTTGCAGTGTCCTGGGGTCACGCAATCCCCTTTTTGTGACCTTCTGACAAGCGAAGTGAATGGGGAAGCCAGATTCACTTAACAACCGGGTTGCTGACTTGTCAACTGTACTTATTCACTTAACAACCGTGGCAAGAAAAGTCGTAAAATGGGGCAAAACTCGCGTAACGAATTTCTCACTTAGCAACAGAAATGTTTGGGGCTCAATTGGGGGGGTCATCAGCCCACTTACAATCAAAATTGGGACCCAAATTTCCACTGCTAGGGCAAGATGCTTATTAAGTGAGTTGTGCCCCGGGTTTACGACCTTTTTGCCATGGCTGTTAAGCGAATCACTGCAGAGGTTAAGTGAAGCACACGCTCATTAAGATCGCAAGTGGTGATCATGTGACCCCGGGATGCTGCAACGGTCATATGTGCGAGGATCGGGTTTTTTCCAGTGCTGTTGTAACTTGGGATTGTCACTAAATGGATGATTGTAAGTTGAGGGCTACCTGCATATCTCTTGGTGCTGCTGTTGTGGAAGGAATGATGTAGGGTTTGCTTGGGCAGGGGGTTGGACTAGATGACCTTCAAGGCCCCTTCCAACTCTGTTAATCTGTATACTGTGAAACCCACCTGCTTTCAAAAGAAGGTGAAAAATTGCCCACCAGGAATTCCATGCAAGTAATGCTTCAATTGAAAGTCAAGGGCCACGATCCAAAGAACCGATTTTGGAATATGCTGTAGAATTTGCATATGTTTTTAATTACATACATAATGTATGTGAATCGGAAGTCTTCCCTGG